ATTACTGTCCAGGTCTAAATTTTATGCCCATTCTTAGAGCAAGAGATGGGGCAAGTCTCACACATGACAACTAAACTGAGAGGGGGCAGGGAAGTTCACAAAAGGAAAATTGATAATTTATTGCCAGACGCCGGGGTGTAGGATGCTGGCAGAAATGGCAGGTATTCATCATAAGTGTCTGCGAAGCTCTTCAGTGGATACCCTCTTCAGTAACTGATTGCTCACCTAGTGTGAATATTCCCCTGCTGAACAGCTTGTCACACAGCATTGCCTTAGCTCCACATCTAGTTCAGGGACAGGCACTGCCTTTGCTGCCCATTTAGCTTTTATCATACCAGTTATATGAGAAAATATCATATGATCCAATTTTAGCTTTTATCACAGCAATTATATGATAAAAGCTAGGGGGTTTGCACATGCTTATGAGGAATGCCTGCCATTTCTACACTCCACTCTTCTTGTCCAGGTGTCAAGCAGGGACAGTCTTCAGCATCAACTCTCAACTTTTATTTGCATTCTAAGCTCGAAACACATTGAGCATAAAACCCATTAAGATGCTGCAAATGTACCAGGTCTTCCTTTGCCTCTTAGCCCTCATTATGTCCGTTCTGCCCACAAAACATTCTCTCTTGCTCTCCTTTCTCTCTTTCCAGGATAAGGCACTCTCGTCCTTCAGGTCTCAGTTGAGACAGATTTTTTTTTTTTTTTTCAGAGAAACCTTCTCTGGCGAGGGTTGACACCTTTGCTGTGCATTACATCTGCTTCTCACTGTCATCCTCTCCCAGCACTTACACTGGAATTGCCTGTTACCTAGGCTGTGTCCCCATTAGGCACTAAACTCCAAGAAGATAAGGAACGAGTTCACCTTGTCCACTCTTTTTTGTAGGAACACGATCTCACTATGTTGACCAGCTTTCTTGAACTCCTGGCCTCAGTGATCCTCCTGCCTCAGGCTCCCAAATTCCTGGGATTACAAGCATGAGCCACAATGCCCAACTAGAAAAAGCACTACGCTGTTTTAAACAACATTGATGACAATCATTTGTCGAACGCTTATCAAGGCTGAGTGCCTTTCCTAGATCTGGCATTCATTTATTTGCCAAATACTAATTGTACACCTCCTTCATGCCATGCACAGTACATTATCTCATTTATTCTATAACAACCTTGTGAAGACATCCATTATTATACACTCATTTAGCAAGTGGGGACACTTAGCCTGAGAGGTTAAATAACTTGTGTGAAGTCTCATAGCTAATCAGCGGAGGCATTGGAATCCAAATCCAATTCTGACTGCAACGCCTGAGCTCTCAACTCCCATAGTGTACCAAAGACATGAGCTTTGAATATAGTTTAGCTTGTTATGCCTTTAACAGAATGTAAGAAACATGAACGAGAGAAAAGCAAAGTTTTATTGAAAACCCACTCCTGTATTTAATAGGCACTTGCAGTGGTGTATTTCCATATATCATTTCATCTACATCACAGCCCTTTTAAATGAGATTTTTCCAAAGGCACGTGGCTAGCAAATGGTTTAGTTACAACCAAATCCAGGTTTTAATTTCTGTTTTGTTTCCTTTGGGCCTTTGCTACTTCCCAAAATGACTAAGGAAAGGACAGTTTTTAGGGAGATATAAACAAGATCATGACTCTCTACCGGGAGAGGAGCAGACTGCTGAGTGGCATGGGGCTGTCTACTGATTCAGACAGCTGCAGTGAGAGTCCGAGTCACATATGTGACTGTGTGTGTCATGCATCAGGACGAACATCTGGACTCTCAAATACTGGGGTGTGTTTCTATATGGAGCCTGAGGACCTACCTTCCTTGAAGGACAAACACCACCCATCTCAGGTAAACTGAGAGTGTCACTGGCCCCTTGGGTACCTTGTAGTGTCTTATATAATATGATAAATTTTACCCAGCAGTAGAGAATAGTTGAAGTTCTGTGACCTTGTAAATCAAAGAGCTGTGTGTGCATGAAGACCTTGGCCTGAGTCTGTCTGGCTTACACACTGGCTCACCTGCAGAGATGGAGACTTTCCACAGATTCTTTCCAGCTCATTGGCTCTGTATGTCTGAAGTCTGCTTCTATTTAGAGTGCATCTCTCAAAATTTTCCATCAAATGGTAGAGAGTAACTTCTGGGGGTACAGGGTATGTGTGTGTGTATATGCATCTGCCCCATTGCAAACGTAAAATTTCTTTGAAGTATCATGCTTCATCTTTAAAATTAATGCACATTTGAATTTCATTCAAAAACATTTGTATTTGTTTTAAATGAAGATATTATTAAAATTGCTTAGGAAATAAAATTGGTGAGTATCCCGTGGCATTCTGAATTGTTCCTGAAGCAGGAAGTACTCCAGTGTGAGAAGCACTGGGCTGCCTTTTCTTAAAGTTTCTAATTTTGTTGTCTTCACCTTAGCCCACTATTTCTCTTTCTGTGTTGTTGAGAAAACACATTTTCTCTGTTTCTTCTTAATCTCGTGGCTCAATGGGGGCGTTGGATTAAGTGTCAAGGAGGAGTTGTAGATTTCACAGTAGTGATGAGTAATCAATTAATCCCTTACTGATGACTTGTGCAGAATACTTCCTAGGCAATTTATGATATTTCCAGGGAAATAATAACAGTTAACATTTCTTGTGAATTTTGTAATTTGCCAAACACTTTGTAGGGCTTTAATTTAATTTTACCCTTATGACAACCCCGAGGTAGGAGGTTCTATTATTATGCCTATTTTACAGATGAAGAAAAAGAGGTGCAGAGTAACTTGCCCAAGTTCACACAGCTGGCATAGTGGGGCTGGGATTTGCACCTGGACAGCTTTATTCCAGGACCACCAAGTTGTCTTGCTCCTTTGGGGAATTTACATCCTTTCAGCCTGTAGCTGAGAGAACGTTCCAAGAATATTCCAGTCCTACTTCATTTAGTGGGCTTATGAGTCACCTCTGCCTGCTGGAGCTTGACATGGGGTCAGAAGTCACAGCAGTATCCATCTGCCACCCACTGTTCTTGATTCAGGGGGCATCAATCAAATGGGAGGGTTGAAGAGAGGAGGAGGTTGGGCCACCTCTGCCAGCCTCGGGCTAATAAGGAAGCACAGAGTCATTCTTCCTGAATGATAGACTGCTTCTCCAGCTCTTGGCAGCAGAAGTGAATGCAAAGCAGGCAGGTTTGCAGGCAGCTACGGAGGTGGCATTTGAAGGAGTGCTGTGCAGGTTTATCCACAGGGTGCCTTAGTCCTGTAGGAAGCCTGCATTGTGCCTAAACCTTCACTTCTAAGGTCGTGGTAAGAGTCACAGATCCAGGACTGGCACTGGTAGCTTAAGGCGCCTGTGCCAGGCTAATTGTCGCTGGCACAGGCACCGTCTTTTCCTGGCACACCTCCTCCTAATAACTAGAACAGCTGAGCAGCACGGGATGCTTTGCATCTTGTCTGCCGCCCAGCCACCTGAAGCAAGGGGCTGAAGTCCTGGCGGCCAACATTGGCTGAGGCCATGAACTTCGTATCCCAGACTCTTTCCAGAGAGTAGCTTAGCTGGAGTCAAGAGGCTGCTCTTCACTAAACCATCACCCCTTGATTCATTCTTAGAGTCAGAAACATGAGATGCTACGCTGACTAAAAAGAGCCACAGCGTATCAGATGTTGCTGGAAATATATGTGTGGCCATTATCCCATCATTCCCACTTTGGTTAAGAATTAAAAATAAATTGTTATTATAATGTAATGTCTTTCACTGTCTTGTTTGAGTGAGTCTCTTTTTTTTTTTTTTTTTTTTTTTCTTGAGACGGAGTTTCGCTCATGTTACCCAGGCTGGAGTGCACCAGGCTGGAGTGCAATGGCGTGACCTCGGCTCACCGCAACCTCCGCCTCCTGGGTTCAGGCAATTCTCCTGCCTCAGCCTCCTGAGTAGCTGGGATTACAGGCATGCACCACCATGCCCAGCTGATTTTTTGTATTTTTTTTTAGTAGAGACGGGGTTTCACCATGTTGACCAGGATGGTCTCCATCTCTTGACCTTGTGATCCACCCGCCTCGGCCTCCCAAAGTGCTGGGATTACAGGCTTGAGCCATCACGCCCGGCCGAGTGAGTCTCTTAAGTATAGCTAGGGACCTCTTTTTAATAAAGTATACAGATAATTCGTATGTCTTTGTATCTCATTTATATCCCACATGGCATTCTTTTATCTACTCTTAGGTCAACTCCCTAAACTCACTGCTCCAGCATTCTCCTTTACTTTCTCTGGAAACTCTTTTCAATGTTTAATTCTAAACTCAGGCTATGAAAACTATTGAGTACAGTCATAAAGTCCAAGCTGTTGCTGCTGTACATTTAAGGTGTCCATTCATTTATAAATACAATTTTATTGAGCTCTTGTCATATGCCAGGCACTGTACAAGGCACTGCAAATATAGCATGGAACAAAGCACAGAAGGCTAACATCCCCATGGAGCCAGAAGTCAGCCTGGAGGTGTCCAATAACAGGTGCATTTTTAGCCCACTTCTCACTCTGAGCACAGGTTCCTAGTTAAAGCCTACTCTTGTATTCCACACTGGCCATTCCAAACCTTCATAATGTTTCTCACGTCTCTTACCAAATGCGTTGTATTGTATTGCATTGTATTATGATTGCATTGTATTATGAATACCAGTAGAACCTGACATTCTACTCCATAGGGAATTCTTGGTTTCTGGTCCCCTAATGTTCAAACTTGTCTCCACCTATGCCCATCTTCACCTCTTTTTCCCTGTCTTAGAGGAGCACGTGCCCTTCCTCCTAGCTAGGTTTAGCTTTTGCTCCTGTGCTCTGGATCCCATGTGACCCATTTCCTCTGAGATTTGCTTCTTCAGTGTTTGTGTATCTCCAGTCTCTCCATATGAATCAGCAGAGACTCTCTCTTGTCTAGTCGACCCTAAACCGATTCTTCAAACCTGAGTGCCTCGTGGTAGCCCAGCCCTTCTCTTCACAGCTAGGGTTCTGGAAAGAGTAGTTTAACTTGCTGTCTCCTCTTCCTTACTTTCCATGTGCTGTAAAGTGATTTCTATGTCTAATTCTTCCCTTCCTTGACCATAGCCTTACTGAAATTGTTCCTGTTAAGATAATCAAACTTCTGAATTGTCAAATCCAGTGATCCAGAGAACACACTTTTACTCGTTACCTTTCTCAATATTCCTCCTAGGTTTGGCATTGTTCACCACTGTCCTGCTTTTGAAACCACCACGTCTGGCTTCTGGGACACCATCCTCTCCTGGTTTGCTGCCCATCTTTCTGGCACCTCCATGTTATGTTTCTGTGTCCAGTTCTCCTGTGTCCACCTTAGAGCTCCTTCCTCAGACTTGTCTACTAAGCTTTTCTTCAACAATCCTATCTGTGTCTGTGGCTTCAACCACCACATCTCCCCTCCATCCTTTCTTTTGAGCTTATTACAGCCAATTACTTATGGACCACACTCCCCTGTGTCCCACAGGCTCCTCACAGTCAGCATGTGCAAAACTGAACACATCATCTTCCCCACTAAACTGCCTCCTCTTCTAAGAGTATTAGCCAAAAAAAAAAAAAACAGCTTTATCTCATCTCCACAGCCTGAACATTTGGATCATCCTTGACTTCTCTTTCTCCCTCATCTTCTACTGTCAACAGAGCATCAATGCATGTTGATTACATTTTATAAACATATATTATATATATTCTGTATGTCCCCTCTCCTCCCCACAGCTGCTCTTGTTCATTTATTTCTCCTGCTTGATCTGTGGAATAGCCTTGAACAGCACACCTCCCGTTTCTAGTCTCTTGCTTTCCCCTGTGCTTCTTCCATTAGAAAAATCAGTGATATATCATTACAATGATGATTGCATTGTATTTTGATCTCATTATATTGTGATTGATTGTATTATGATTCAATGTCTATTGTTCTACTGAATTAAGAGCTTCTTTGAGGCAGGTATTGCATGTTATTTATCTTTGCATCCCCAATGCATGTGATAATGATGAGCATATAGTAGGTGTTTAGTAAACACTTGTTCAATGAATAAATGACTCAACCTCTAACAAGAAGAGCACACTGAGCACAGATAATCAATCTTGAAAGCTTTGAGCACTGTCACATTTTAGCAGCTTGAATGCCTAAGTAGTTATTGATGTGACAATAACACATCTGGTGGCTGAACTTAACACTATTGTTTTAAAATAATGTTAGTTAATTTTGCCTTTTAAAATAATATGAGTTTATTGTAGAAAAGTTAGAAAATATGGATAAGCAATAGGAAGAAAATAAAATCATCCATAATTCCATCACCTGGTAGATAACTACTGATACCTCGTTGATGTAGATCTTCTCAGTTTGTTTTCTAAATTTTTACTTTCAGTAAAGAAATATGATGAAGCCTGGGGGATGTCTTAAATGCTGAGCTGTCCTTTGCAAGAGTAACCAGTCATTAAATCATGGTGCTCAAGGATTTTTGGCAGACCTGACCTAGATGTAGGTGAGTGTTCACATCCGTCAGCACTAATCTGGTGGCTAGACGTTAGCAGCATCATGAGCAGTGATAATACTTTTGCTAGACAGGTGTCACACTAGGGTGGTATCTTAGTCAGTTTGGGCCACTGTAACAGAAAACCACAGACTAGGTGGCTTAAACAACAGAAATTTATTTCTCATACTTCTGGAGGCTGGGAAGCCCAAGATCAAGATTCCAGCAGATCTGGTGTCTGGTGAGGGCCGCTTTCTGGTTTGCAGATGGCCATCTTTGGTTGTGTTCTTACATACCAGAAAGCAGAGAGAGAGGAGAAGCAAACTCTCTTGTGACTTTTTATAAGGGAATGATTTCCATTGACAAGGGCTCCACTGTTATGACCTAATTACCTCTCAGAGGCCTACCTCCTAATACCATCACATTGGGAGTTAGGATTTCAACATACAAATTTTGGGAGGAAACAAACATTTAATCCACAGCAGGTAGTTTCTCTTGTTTGAAGCTAGACCCTAGACAGTGCTGTCTGCCATTTGAAAGAGAGAACAGAGACTGGGAAAGGAAATTTACATAAATAATAAACCTTCAGGACTCCAATCCTGGTGCATAGTTGGAAAGCAGAGCAGGAATCAGGTACGAGGACAGAGCACTTGGGGCAGGATAATGAAAAGACCATAGCCATCTGGGCATGAGAGAGCCTACTGGATTATCCCGGGACACTACAGCCAGGACCTGGGGTGGCCAGACCCATTCTGGTCCACCTCCTGGTGGGGATTGAGCTCCTAATGTATTGTCAAGCTGGGCCAATTTGGTTTAGAAATCAGGAAGAATTGAGCTGCCAAGTTGAAAGACTTAGTAATTGTAGTTATGTGAGGCTGGAAAGGTAGGAAATGACAAATCCCAAGCCCTTTGGAGTGGTGAGATCCCACTACAACCTATTTAATTTTGTGACCCATATAACTGTTGTATGCCATATGTCTATATAGAATAATTAAAGCTAATTAGAATTAATTTTGGTTGGTGAGTGTTTGAAGAGTTTTATAATAACTCTAGAGATAATTAGAGATGCTCTGGGATGTCACAAAAGAAGCATTTGGAATAATTTGTCTAGATGTTTAAGCCAGAGATGTGCAATGAAGGCTAGTAACAGAAATGAAAATTCTATAATTGCAAGAACACTGAATCAGGAAGTAAGAATTGGAGGTTAAAATCGGTATGCTGCTTAACAGGTTCTCTGAAAGACACAAACAACCCACCAACAACTTTGCTTTGTAGCATTTGCCAATTTCTGTGGTGTAAACACTCCCACCATGGTGGATTTCAAGTATTCCATGGTTTAACAACTGGCTCACACAATTCCTGAATAGTTAATAATCAGCTTTTATTAACCTTGTGCAAGGCAGCTACAGCACACCAGTGTAATTTTCACTGAACTTCTAGTTAACTTTGTGATCTTGGGTAAATCATTTCACTTCTTTGGATCTCGGTTTTATCATCAAAAAAGCAAAGTTGTTAAAATAACCTCTAAGGTCTTTTCCAAAGTTAACATTCTAATAATGCAGCTGGTATTATAGGGCAAGACTAATGTCACATAATATGCTAAAATAGTGACATCAAGAACTTTTATGAATGTTATTATAATATACTAGAACATATAATTTGGTATCGAGTCGGTGTAATAATCACCCTGTTCTGATTCCTGCTGTCGATGTGTGTGTCCTTCTCTAGTTCCTCTTCCCAGAAGGATTAAAAACAACAGTGCAGCCATTAGAGAGCCAAATGTCACAGCCCAGGAGTGAGGTAAGAAACCATTGGCTGCCGAGCATGTGGCTCACGCCTGTAATCCCAGCACTCTGGGAGGCTGATGTGGGTGGATCACGAGGTTAGGAGTTTGAGACCAGCCTGGCCAACATGGTGAAACTCCATCTCTACTAAAAATACAAAAATTAGTGGGGTGTGGTGGTGCGTGCCTGTAATCCCAGATGCTGAGGAGGCGGAGGCAGGAGAATTGCTTGAACCTGGGAGACGGAGGTTGCAGTGAGACGAGATTACACCATTGTACTCCAGCCTGGGTGAGAGAAAGACTCCATCTTGGGGGAAAAAAAAAAAACGTTAGCTACAGTCAGAGAATTCTACACTCAGTTTCTGGGTTCTAGAGTCAGCCGAGGGACTGAGAGAAAATTTCGTAGCTTAGATACATGACCCTGTCCGACCATGGGACAGATCCGAGAGGGGTGGTTTTCCTTGGACTAGTAATGACAGACGTGAGAAGCTAATTTGTTCTAAGCTTTTCAAAGGAAAGCTTAGGTGTCTTTTATATTTCTATGTGTCCAATCCTGGCCCTTAATAGGAATACAGTAAGCATTTGTTGAGAGAAAGTATAAACCATTGGGATTTTTTAACAGAGCAGATTCAGAATTTTAAAATATTAATTCAGCAGTAGTCATGTACTTCTCTGAGTTTACCTTAATAATGCAGAAGAAATATATATTTCTTTTTTTATTTTTTTAAGCCTGAGTTTCGCTCTTGTTGCCCAGGCTAGAGTGCAATGGTGCGATTTCGGCTCACTGCAACCTCCACCTGCCAGGTTCAAGCGACTCTCCTGCCTCAGCCTCCCGAGTAGCTGGGATTACAGGTGGCCACCACCACGCCTGGTTAACTTTTTGTATTTTTAGTAGAGATGGGGTTTTACTATATTGGCTAGTCTGGTCTCAAACTCCCGACCTCAGGTGATCCACCTAACTTGGCCTCCCAAAGTGCTGGGATTACAGGTGTGAGCTACTATGCCTGACCAGAAATGTATATTTCAAAAGTGAAAAACTAATTTCTTGTTATAAGAGAAAACTTTTTAGTGCCTTCCGTTCAAAAATTGGTCATATAAATCAACCTTCTAGCTAGATAACATAATTTATTACATAACCAGAGCCCAGTGGAGAGAAACATACATGAGAAAAACCCACACTGGGCAAACCAGGTGTTTACTCCCACCAGTGAGTGTGCCCCCTTCCCTACTGGCCTCAGCCAGTGGAATTAACTTGTCTCTTTGGAAAGGAAAAGATGATACTGATCTGCAGAGGATACTTATCTATATATCATGTGCTGCTTTACCAACATTTAATCCTGGTGATGACCCTCGTAAGCTAAGCATTGTCATTCCCATTTTGAAGAAAAAGAAACTGAAAGTCGGAGAGATTAAGCAACAGAACCAGCTATGGTAGATCCAAGAGTTAACACCCCAAATGTGGTGCTTTTCTCACCAGACCAGGCTGCCCCAGGGCTTCCGGGCTTCCTCTTCCTGGTGTCTCTCTTCTGTGATTGCTGTAGGAACTTGGATGATTTCTCATGTGAATGAACCTGGCTCAGCCCATGCTCAGGCAAACAGAAGCGCCAGTCTCTGACAGGGTTCAGAGCAAATTCGTCAAGTCAGGCTGGTCCCAGACTGCGGTATCTGGGCTGTACTTTGCCCTGATGAATTAACTCCATGGAGGCTGGGCAGTTGCAAAGGTAACTAACATGCTGTACATCTGAGGGCCCAGTGAGTCTTGGTAGATGTGGCACCTGGACTTTGACCATCTCCAAGAGGAGAGGAGGCAGTTTGGGCTAGGTCCCTGGAGCAGCGCTGAAGGAAGGTGGGAAGCCGTCGGAGCAGGTGTGTGGGAACACTCGCTCCCTTCTTTCCCTTCTTTGAGCTGGACATGCTGTGCTGTCAGATTAGGAAAGGCAATATTGCCTTTACCGGGACTAGGAAAGGTCATTTATGTGAATGTTGTGAGTGTGATTTGTCATCATAGATGTAATTCCTTCATTTTGAGAATCGAAGGGGCTATTTATTTGGCGTTCTTAAATACAATCTGAGGACTAATTTGCTGGAGTTGATGTCTCTTGGCAGCAAAATGATGTGATTTCAGTGGAAAGATTGGGTGTTGCGCCTTTGCAGTGGGAGAAGGGCTGTCTAGTGGGACAATCTGGGGACAAGGGGAAAGCAGCTTTCTTCTTATTCCACTTACGTGGTCCAAATGGTTTTGAGTTCCACCAGCCTTCAGAAAAGGCTCATGTGCCCTCCCCTGTATCTGGGACATTTGGCCTTTCCTGGGGTTTGCTGGCAAAGGCTGTCATTGCACCTGGCTTTTTCAAGGGGGTGAGCTGACAC